CCTTCATCAATCAGTTGATCAGTAAGTGCCTTTATTTTCATTGCACAGCTGTACGACAAAATTAGGGCTCTCCAGTGGTACATACACAATCTACAGACATGCAGACACATTAAAGACTATAAAAACAGGTAATTAAAACAAAGTAAGTACAATAAATTTTTGCACAGTCATGAATCATGTATTGCTCTCCTCAGATGTTACTGCACATATCTTATAGTGTAGTTATATCTAGATTCATTCTTTCATGGCACTTGGGAATCTGGAAGTGCAAGCTTTCAAGGACCTGTGGCACCTACTAGAGGGCAGTGTTAGACCCAATCCCATTTCTACCCCTTAAATCTTCCACTTGGTATGGAGTGCCCTTGTTTGTGAGATAACCCTTGTTGAGGGAAGTGAGAAATATTAGGGTAGAGATCTTTCCCTAAGAAATGAGACACCACTTCATGCAAATTGCCGTGGCCTGCATGCAGGCATACGTCACGCGTAGTAGCAACGCAAGACACCGGTAGTCATTCAGGTTTGAAAATGCCGGCTCCAGCGCTTGTGTTGTGGTGTATGCTATGTTTATTCTTCTCCGTCTGATGAGTCAACAGAGAAGAAATGCTGAAAACAGGAGGCGCCTACGACGTCTTCTACTTCTGACCGATTTTGTTCGGGTAAGTCAATTTGTTTAAAAATTTTGACGCTGTGTTCACCTGAGTTGCTGATGAGTTTATGCTAGTCCAACCATCTGTTGTTTGTATAGCCTACATTCCGATCGTACAGTGACAAATGTTTTTCCAAAACTTGTCGAAGTTGCTGACTTTGCAAGGTGTTCTGGGAAATTTCATCTTCCACATCGTTGAAAGTGTGGGGTGGGTTTTAAGTGTTGGAAACCACTTCCACTACCTCAATTCTGTTTTGGGACACCACTAGTCTAAACGTGAACACGCACAACCAAGTGTAAGTCGGTATTTCTAGGGAAGTGTGGGTATTGGGACAGGTGCCCCAGACGCAGGTTGCACTTGAACACACCACAAAGACTACAGCTAGTGGCCACCTAGCACATACACTCTTAACCTGCATGAGAGAAAAATAACTTGCATTTGTCATTAAAAAAGGAAGAGGACCATCAGGACATATTCAAGAGGCTAGTAGACCAGTTGGCACATATATAGCACAACCCAGTGTTGAAAGAGCAAAGCATATTTACAATATGGTAGCAAACAACACAAACGTTTACGATTTGTCTTTGCTGAAGAACTCAATGGCTAAAAAAAAACACAATTTTATCTCATTTAACAATTTTGTTTCAATCTCACACCCTCTTGACTTTAGCGGTTTGTTTGCTTTCCTCACTTCCATTTCTCTTCTCGCGCACTGAACTGAACAGCCAATCAGAGTGAGTCAATTAGCCAATGGGCTGCGTTGTCTGTGACACCAATTTAACATGCAGAATCAGCCAAAAAAAAGCCTACAAGGGCTAGTGCCAACAGTGTGGGACACACCCCAAAAACTAGGGTGACAGATGCTCACCAACAGCCCAGCATTGAATGCTGGGGGTGCAAGCTGGTCTTACAAGTTAATTGGGCCAAAGTCCGAGTAGGGTGGGCAGGAGTGGTGGTGGATGGGTCCAACATCAACTTTCACATGGGTGGCTGGTGTTGGCTTCCCATAGGATTGTAAAGCCAAACCCTGTTCTTTTTTCCATAACCCAAAAACATGCTTTTATTGCTTAAACCCAACCATGTGTGCATTAGCCAAACATACCCACTTGCATTTGCTGCTGAAGGAAAAAAAGGTCAATTTGTGGTGTTGTGCCGAAGTAGTTTATTTTGAGTAATATGCAAACTGTAGATTCCCTGTAAAAGTTGAAGTGTAGTTTGAAAACAGACAATGCATGTAACAGGCTGAAGTTGACATGGCGTTCCAGAACGTCAACAACCAACACACCCAGGGTACCTGACATGTTGTACATTGACATGGAAAGTCCATGGCCAAATGTTGATATGAGAATTTGTTGGTGGGTCACATGACACTAGAAACCTGTTTGCATCCTGTCTCCTCCCAGCACTCACTGTTGAGTCTTTTCACAATGGCAAATCTTCACCAGCTACTCACCTACACTTGACCAAACTCTAACCACAGAGGTTAAAGCCTGGGTCATTTTAAAATGCAAGGTACAGTATGAGAGCGTGTTGCATCAGAGCCAGAGCCACACTTTTTGTCTGAAGTCCAAACTCTGATTTTTCATCTCAATGTCGTATCTAACAGTCAGCTCTTAAGCCTCTGGCTTTAGATAACAGTAGTGCATACAAGAACATCAGTAACAGACGATTCTGATTTTTATCCAATGCCAGCGTATTTGAAATGATTGCTTTATGTACTGTCGACACAAGGCAGTTTCAAGGTTAGAAATAATCTGTGGTTTTGAGAGATTAATAAAAATATTGTCATGCTAGTTGCGGTTGCGCAGCTAAAAAGTTTGTATAAGGATAGGAAAATATTATGGTTACGTTAATAATTAATAACAGGTTTATGGTGGGATGCGATGCCTGAAATGGATGTGCTACACCTCCATCCACCACCCTGGCATCCACACTTCTATCTCCTGCTTCACCATATAAATGACACACTTCATTTCTATGTTGGCACTGCACATAAATCGTATAGTGTGGATTTGTCAAATATGGATGTAATTCCTGGGGATACTTGAGTGCATGCGTGTCCGTAAACATTACCTGGGAATGAGGGAAATTCACTAATAGGGTAGACACACACACACACACACACGCATGCACGCACACACACACACGCACACACACACACAGTCAAAGGCTGTAGACTGCTACAGACTTCCTGCAGAAAAGCTTGCTGGATTAAAGGCAAAAAGTCCAGTTGCTTATGATTCAGCACTTGCAGATATACACTCAGCGGCCACTTTATTAGGTACACCTGTTCAACTGCTTATTAACGCATGTAGCTAATCAGCCAGTCACGTGGCAGCAACTCAGTGTATTAAACAGTGCGTGTAAACATGGTGAAGACGACCTGCTGAAGTTCAAAAGGAGCATCAGAATGATGAAGAAAGGTGATTTATGTGACTTTGAATGTGGCATGGTTGTTGGTGCCAGACGGGCTGGTCTGAGTATTTACTGGGATTTTCAGCACAACCATCTCTAGGGTTTACAGAGGATGGTCCCAAAAAGAGAAAATATCCAGTGAGCCAAAATGCCTTGTTGATGCCAGAGGTCAGAGGAGAATGGCCAGACTGGTTCAAGATGATAGAAAGGCAACAGGAAGTCAAATAACCACTCGTTATAGCCAAGGTCTGCAGAAGATGGCGGTGGTGGTGGTGTAACGGTGTGGGGGATATTATCTGAGCATGGTTTAAACACCACAGCCTACCTGAGTATTGTTGCTGACCGTGTCCATCCCTTAATGACCACAGTGTACCCATCTTCTGATGGCTACTTCCAGCAGGATAACGCACCATGTCACAAAGCTCACATCATCTCAAACTAGCTTCTTGAACATGACGATGAGTTCACTGTACTCCAATGGCCTCCACAGTCACCAGATCTCAGTCCAATAGAGCACCTTTGGGATGTGCTGGAACGGGAGATTCTCATCATGGATGTGCAGCCGACAAATCTGCAGCAGCTGTGTGATGCTGTCCTTGTTGAATCTATGACACCAATAATTAAAGCTACTCTTACCTTTCTTGCATTTCACACAGCACTTAGAAAGAATTTGAACATCCACAACTCCAAAGTCCCGTCCTCCTCCTCCTGCAACTCCACCTCCCTCCAAAGGCTTACTCCCCCCTCCTCCATTACGTCCTCATTACGTCTATGTTAGATGTAGACGTTGGCAAGGTAACGTTAGATGCACGGAAGAGGAGAGCGAGTGTAACATTACAGCCAAGACAGTCAAATGCAACCCTGGAGTTTTAAAACTCAACCGGAGTCAGTGATGACTGATGAGTTGTAGAATAAGGTTACAGTGCCAATGTTAGATAGTAGCGTTAACATTACTAGTAAGTGGAAACGCACAAGGAGGATAACGTTAATGTTTCAGAGGCTACGCTGCAGTAGGCTAACATTAGCCATTAGCAACTGGATGCTGTGTTGTCATAATGTTACAGAGATGTTATGCAAGCGGTTAAGTCAGTCGGAGGCCTCCACGTGGAGAAGACAGACAGGATGCTCGACCAATCATTGCATTTGGTTCGAATGCAATGATTGGTCGGAGTTTTCTTAGAGCCATATGAGAACAGTATAATGATGAGTTTTATCTCTGGTGGAATTCACTTTCAATTCAGTGTGCCATCAGCGTATTAATAGCATTTTAACCTAAACAAAGAAAAGCGTAACATTTCCAGAGAGGTAAGTGTCACTTTAATGCAATTCTGAAGACAAAAGGGGTCCAACCCGGTACTGACAAGGTGTACCTAATAAAGTGGACAGTGCGTGCATATCCCGTAACCTGGTTCACTCAGTATCTTCACAAACATTTTCATTATGTCACTTTAACCCCCTCAAATAAGGCTCTTTAAGTACCTACCTGATAACTGCAAGATCAAACTGATCACAGTCATTGTACGTTTTTTTTTAAAGCAGTGGCCATCAGTTATTGTTTGTTGAACTTTGCACATGATTGATTTTTCATATCTTCAGTGCACACACAGGTTACATCCACAGACACCAACCGGTATGGGTTATGTGCATTTTAATTCTATGGCTGTCTGTGGCTCACTCACTTTCACATCTGAAATCAGCCACTTTCACCCCGATAAATAGCGAGGCCAGGTGGCTGGCAGGTGTGATACATCTGAGTGACAAAGTCCATGATCTGGTTAGTCCGGTGTGTCGGCTGTCTTTCACGGGGTTGCTGCAGCAAGTGGATGGATGAGCGACTGCGCGGCTCTGATTGGCCAGGCACGCGGCTCCCAGCGGGAGCACTGGGCTCCCTACTTGTCATTACTGTTGCTCCGATTCACAAGCTCATGAACACCGCTGGGCTCGGTGTGTCCGTCTCTTCCCGGACTTGGAATTAATCTCACATTACTGAAAGCGGCGGTTCGCACCATGGATGCTACCATTTATCAGATCATATTTGGGGAGCTCGGGGACCTGAATTGTAGTTTGATTGATGCTTTTCAAGACACTTTTTTGGAAAACGCTTCATTGTCACTGCTGAGCACTGATGGTAAGATGGAATTGCTTCTTTTTTTTCTTGTTGAATATTGAGAAATGTTGCGTCTTGGATAACGGAAACTATACGCGTCCGCGTTTTTTTTGTTTTACTTTATTTCCACCCCTCAAGGTTTATATTGCAATGCCACAACCGATGAGATTGGAACCTGCTGGCCGCGGAGCAGCACCGGGAGGATTGTAGAGAGACCCTGCCCTGAGTACATCAATGGGGTGAAGTACAACACGACCAGTAAGATTTATTATTTAGCTCCAGTGGCAAAACTTCTTCTCTCCATTTGTGTGGGTAATAATATTTTGCACGCACATTGCACTTTAAAAAACACACACACTCACTGCAGTCAAATGCACTGGCTGGAAAAGTAAGTCAAATACTATTCTTGTTGAAAATGCAAGCATATGTCTGCTTTTTAATTATAAGCAGACATATGCTAATGTGTCCATGTGCACTGTAGATGCCCTTTCATGCTGAACTGGTCTGCTGAGTCCCCTTCTGCTCTGATGTAGAGCAGTGATGACAGTGAATCTCAATGATCATTACACCTCATGTCACTGGAACAGCTGCATCAGAATGAGCATATGTGCTGCTCACGCCAAGGACACATCTCCCCCAAATCACTTCAAAAATCATGGGAATGTGATATGATTACAGTGCTTGACTCAGATGCGTTTGCTTGTTTCACCAGATATTGTACCCGGCCAAACTTGGACAGTGTTGAGATATGTGTTGCAGATACAGCGGCTTTTTATAAAGGAGGAAATATATGAAAAATATTCTGCACTGTCAAGAGTCAAGATTACTTTATTTGTCCCTAGGGAAGTTTTTCTTGGACATAATGGCTGCCACATACAAAAATACACAGGGTCTGCAGAAAAAGACATCAAGTGCACAGCACAGACAAGTGCAGACGTTCAGATACATGCAGCACTGCCCCTCATTTTACACCCTCCTTTTGTCTTGAGTTTAGGAAATTCACCCACAGAGGGATGAAAGAGTTTAACATCTATTCAGGTATCTCCTCTTGTATTTAATTGGAACCCTGTAGCATTTCCCTGATGGAAGCAGTTTGTGTTGTGAATACAGGACATGGGAGAGCGCCGTGAAGACTTCCCCTTTATAATTATAGTCTTTTTGGACCACTCTGCTTATTTGTGATTTTAACCTAACAGATGCATTACCAAACTCAGCTGAAATTCTGTAATGTAATATACTGTCTGTTACCCTCTGTCCAACCCTCAACACCTTTAGTCTTTGCAAAAAGTCTGTAAGAGTAAGTCAAGGGAGCAGGACTTTGCAACACTGGTCAACAATCAGAGGCAGAAAGGAGAATTCAACTGTAAAAAGAAGAAATCCATCACAGGCATTTATGGACAACAGCTTCACTAGAAAGCATTGCAGGCTGCTATTCTGTAAGACACGATTGTCAGCCAGACAGCACCATTTCCTGGCCACCTACTCTGGTGTAGAGTTGAGTTCACCGGGTCTTTGCCAATCACATTTTGCTGAATCCAGCCCACGACAAATTCACAAGGCTGAATATATGACATTGTAACTTCACTGTCTTTCCGATGACACCTGTCGTCATGCAGTCCATCGGCCCATTGGTTGTGATTGTAACCCGATGAAGATGTGACTGCTGTGTATCCAGTGTGGTTTGGAGTGCTGACCGTGCAGCTGTTTCACTTTGAATCATTTTCAACTTGACCTCACATCTTGATCAGCCAAGCTGCTATCTGTTGTTCTCACAATAACATTTCTTATTGTTTTTTTTTTTTTTCAACAATAAGCTGAAAGGCTGTTTTTTTATCTGCTGGCTCCAAAGACTGAGTAATTCCAAACCCAATCTGTATCAGCCAACAGTTTTACCAAGTGCTGAGAACAGCATATCACAACTCTCCACCACACCATCAGTGGCACGTTATGTAACTCGTGTATTAATCATGAGGCTGATGAAGTTTGTTGACACATTCAGAAAAGTGAATTGCAGCGTTAATTTCAGAAAACAACATCAGACAATTTCTCCTGTAATGAATACACCGAGCCTCGGGTTCAGGGTGGCAGCGTAAGAGTGTCTGAGGCTGGATTTTTCATTTAACACGGCTGTTATCTCTGTAATAGGCTCAGGTGCAGTGTCATTTACCCACTGGCCCCCCTACCACACACACTCTCACACACCCTGTTGTCTGCCTAGTCACCTCTTACTGCATTGATTCACCCTTTGCTCTGCTGGTGCTCAGTATTAGTTGGGCATGCCTGGTGGTCTGATCCACTCTGTGTGAAAAGCGCAGTCATTTGCCATGACAACATGCGCCTTCGCCTTCTCTGATGTACACCTTCACTCGTCAGCACCTTTGTGAATCGATGTAATATTTTTGACAGCGTGAGCATTAGATATTGTGGCGAGATTGCAGTGATCAAATATTTTTGATAAATTGATCTTGCAGTCAAACAAAAGGCTTGTCAAATGCACCGGAGTATAATGGCACTTTTTGCTTGCTGGAGGTGGTAACATAATTGCCGCCTGGTGTTTTAACAGGTTTGATGAATCAAATGGGAAAGAATGAGTACAGGAATCAAAGAACGCTTTCAGGAAAATTAAGTCACATTATTAGACAGCTTGGATGTGGAGTGACACAGGCAACAGATTTTTGCTGTTCCCTTGTGTAGAGCCTGTGGGTAATTATTATTTAAAGTGTTGATTTACCTTTAGCACAAACTGGACTGTGAACAAATTCAATTATTTTGCTTCTCCGAGAGCTCTCAGTGTTGTTGCATTTTCCGTGGAGCATTGTAGAAGAGGTTTGAGGCAGGGAACAAAGTAGAAACGAATATGCAGTCATACAGAATAACTGAGATTATTTTACAGCTTGTCTGGCACGCTGACTGCAATGTCTTGGACGTTCTGCTGTCCCACTGTAGCAGCAAATAATAGACTTTTGCATGTGAAAATTTATCAGAGCCACTGAGACAGACTTGATGGGTTTAGCTGTCTGAGATCGATTGTCACATAGGAATCAAACAGGAATTATAAGAGGCCGGCGAGGATTTGCTGTGTGGAGCTCTCTAATGAACTTTTGATCATGTGAGAGTGTTAGAGTCTCTGTAGATTATTGCAGTGATGCATACAAGTGTGGAGCCTTTGGGGGAGGTTGATGGGAATGCAGTGTGATGTGTTAAAACACTGCGTGTGCAGCCTGAGCATGCAGTGACATGTATCAAAAACAGGTCTAATTGTGCCAAGTCTATGGCACTTACACTAGACTTTGAGGGCAGAGATGATGTTAAAGGAATAGTGTGACATTTTTGGAAACAGACATAGCTCAGTAATGAAGTGTGTGTGTGTGCTGAATGTTATGTGGCACATTTGTATGCACTGTGAAACTCTACGGCCAGTAGATCTCTATGTGCACATCCAGCCCAGTCGCTAGAACAAATACATTACATTTGCGCATTTCATACGTATCATATCAACATTTCTAAAGTGAGGTGATATGTATAAGTTGATTGAGAATGTGTTCCGACCTCGATCTGAACCAACTGCAGTTGAATTACACGTTGTTTGGATGACACATGAGCATGTTACAGTCCTGGAGGGTTATTAATGTGCGCCTCCTCCTGTACTGCCTTAATATCAGGGCCGACTGCTCTGAGACAACAAGGGAGGCTGAACATCCCCTAAAATTTTTATAGAAGAAATGGTCAAATATGCACTATTGAATTGACATTAAAATAAGAATTAACATTGCATTAAACGTGTGCTAGGATGCGTTTCACATCATGACTATGAAGTTCCAACGTCAGCTGTTTATCACCAGTTTTCAAATGTGACCTCCCTGTCATATATTCTCGTGTCAGCACGGTGGATGAGGAGCCTCCAAGCAGACAGCGCTGAGCAGGTTTTTTTCATGCAGCAAAGCGAGAAGCTCATTAGATAAATGCGACAAAATCGTCACTTCCAGGGAGGCTCAGCTTCCCTGGGACCTAATGGAGCGGAAGGTAGGAGAGGACGCTCGGTGTCTGCGTGATGATTGGAGAAATTGTCTAAAAGGCTGAACCCCTTTGTGACTGACAGCGCTTTGCATTTTGAGCTCAGTCCCAAACGGATATTTGCGAGTGGAGTCTCCTGACAGAGTGCCGTCCAGAGTTCCTTATTTCCATAAGCCATATAGCTCATTTTCACCATTTGTACACAGTTCTGGTGTTTAAACCCATCTGAAAAATCTTTGAGGTGTGTCTTGCTGTGGTTCTATGGCAAACGACTTCAATTAAATGTTCCTTTTATAAGTAACTGCCTCGATTAAATATGACAAATTTTATGATGATCTTAATATGCACATTCGGCGCATCCAATGCATCAGCAACCAATGCAAACATTGTCTTCTAGTTGGAGCCGTGAGTTGTCCCTCCATTGTGAAATTAGAAAGTGTAGCATTTATCTTGCAAGTGTACTCTTTTTCTAGCCTGGAAATCCAGACCTAAATCTAGAAAGATTTAGGGTCTGGCTATGAGTAATGCAAATGGCCCAACTCGAGGGGCGGCACCAAGCAAGCATTTGAAAATATCACTGCATGCAATTGGATAACACTACAACCAATCAGAACAATACACAGGGTGACGTATCCAGAGCTTAGCTACCAGCGGAGCTAACTGGTAGATTAGACTCTTGCCGTATCCGGTCGGCAAAACAGCAAAAACATCCTTCTTGCAAAGGAAAGATTTGAGCGCCGTCTTCTGTTCCTCTTTTAGAGAAAAAGCCAAGTCTAACTCGTTCATTGTAGCGGCCAAAGCCGTTTCAAACAGCTGGTGTTCATCGTAGCCATCTTGCAATGTTTACTGACTGATTCCAGACTTCGTCGTCACAGCGCTGTCGTCATCTGTTTAGCTCGCCTCTGGTCCGCCTATATCAGATACACAGATGTGATTGGTGCAGCTTGGCTTCATCGGCATGGGTAATGAGCATCATCACTGATTGCCAGAGTGACTCGCTGAGCAAAATCAAATTGTGCTCTGGATTTCCAGGGTACTCTTCTTAGTTTAGTTTATTTACTTTATTAATCCCCCTGAGGGGAAATTCAATGTTTTCACTCTTGCTTGTCAATTACACACAGGTCCGAAAGACACACACATGCACAAACAGGACCTATACATGCACAAAGTGGAGAGATGTCAGAGTGAGGGGGCTGCCCTTGGTGAAGCGCCCCGAGCGGTTGGGGGGTTCGGTGCCTTGCTCA